CACGGCTGCCAGCTGGGAAAGACTCGAAGAGGGTGTCGAAGTCCTTCTGCGCAAGGGCGGCAGAGATCTTCTGCTGCAGGCGGGCCTGCGGGCGCGCGATGAGGTGCGCGATGGGGGGGATAGCGACAGAGGGGAGGGATGCGGAGAAATCGATGCGGGCGGATGCCGCCGAGACGAGCCATTCCAGCTGGAGAAGAGAGGCTTCTGACTCGGGCATTCAGGGTTGCCCATGGAAACGATCCCACACATCCCCCACGGTGACGGCCACGGACCCCAAATAAGCACCCGGTGCGACACGCGCAGACGACACCAGCCCAAAGCCCCCCAACCGGATGGGAAGCTGCACCTGCCGGTGTGCCGAAGTAGACAGGGCGCCCGTGCGGTGGATGCTGGTGAATGCGGTGACCTTCGCAGCATCATGTGCACGGGCGGCCGCCAAGAGCGGCGGGGAGGGGGCGAGGAGGCGGCACCAGTAGAGGAAGCGAGGGGACTCACAGTAGCGAAGGAGCAGGTTCGCCCCTTGCACTGCATGGTCCCAATCGTCGACAGCAAAGGCCACGACGGCGTCGAGGAGGCGCTGATACTTGGCGACGACCTCGTTCACGATGCGCTCGATGAAGGCCGGGGTGCCGATCGGGGCGGACAGGAGGATGATCCCTTCTGTAGACGCGCGCACACCTCGACTCGTGATGGCCGTCGGAACGTCAGCGGCCGAGCGCCAATGCGGAGACCACGCATGGCAAACCTCTCTTCCGTTTCCAAGTTGTGCAGATCTCAATCTGTGAGGTCACTGCCATCGTTTTGAGGCTCAGATTGTTCGCTGCTTTCCTGTGCACTGCCGCGGCAGTCAGGATGGCGGCTTTCAAGCACCAACGTGTGGCCGTCATAGGTGCAGGAGTCACGGGCAGCACCATCGCCCACCAGCTCTCCCGCTCAGGCCTGCCCATCGCTATCGACGTTTTCGGTCCGTCTGTCGATAAACCAACCAGTTCGATGATCATTCATCCATCGCTTTGTCTGTCTGTTGGCTGTCTTGTCTTGTGTGCGGCTCCTGCTGCAGAGATGGGCCGTGGGCCTGGCGGCCGGGCATCCACTCGCTTCACTCGGCAGCTCCCTGGGGTGTGGTACAACCACGGCGCCCCCTGCTTCCATGTGTGTGACCCTGCTGTGACGGCCTTCATCGAGTCGCTGGCCGGCAAACAGTGCATCGAGGAGTACAAGGGCAAGGTCATGAGCATAGACTGGGCCACCAAGGGGGTGCGGCAGGCCGACACGACGCGGGCCAGCCACGGGTCGTCCGGCGACGCTGAGACCTGCAAGATCTACAGAGGGGTGCCGCACATGGCCAGCCTGTGTTCGGCGCTGCTTGAGGGCGACAACATCACCAAGAGGGAGCAGACGATGATAGTCGAGTACTGCTTCGACAAGACCACCCAGCAGTGGCGGCTGGTGGACAAGCAGGCCAAGGAATATGCCGGCTATGACTACCTGATCATCACGAGCGTCACCAACGGCCACCCCCGGTTCCAGAAGACGTTCGGCCTGCCCCCGCCCCTGACTGTGGCCGGCGACAGGCTGGCTGCCGCACAGGTGTCGGATGCTGTGCAGAGGGTAGCCGCCATGATGGGCGAGGTCAAGAGCGACCCCATCTTCAGCCTCATGGTCACCTACCCTGTCAGCGACGCCCCGCCCTCTCTGCCTTTTGATTGTTTGCTCATCGAGAACGGCATGCTTTCCAAGGTGGTGCAGATGCCCCTTCCCACCCCCTCAGCAGGCCACTCCCCCTCTCCCTCTCACGTGTCGTTCGTCGCCCACTCCACTCCCGCATTCGCAGAGGAGCACATTAGCGTGTCGGCGTCGAGCGATCCCGACGCCCTGGACAGGCTGGCCAAGACGATGGCAGACCACCTCAAGATGGTCCTGCAGACGGTGGCCAAGGAGGCGGCGAGCAAGATGGATATGGATTCGCCTGCCGCCGTGCAGGCCCACAGGTGGGGCAGCTGCTTCCCCGTGGGTGTGCCTGACGGACTGAGGGGGCGGGGGTGTGTGGGGGATGAGAAGATCGGTGTGTACGTGGCGGGGGACTTCATGGTGGCCGCGTCTGTCGAGGGTGCCATGAGCAGTGCTCTCGTGACGAGCGAGAAGGTCATGTCGCAAGTTAGGGCGAAGCTCTGAATGAAGTGTGTGTGGTGTGGTGTTGGGTTGGCTAGGGAGTGTCCGTACATATGTATGGTCGGAACGTGCAGACAGACACTTCACTCACTGACGTCGTGTCGGATGCATGGACTCTGCATATTGAACGCGAGCGTCCGAGTGCTTATGCTCCGGGTTAAGAAATGATCTGATTCAATCAATTCGACTCAGTCAGCATGCACACACATGATTGATATGCACTCGAGGGGTCATCACACCACCCGCAGGCGCATCACATTCATCCAACCTCTAGACTACTCCTTCCCCTTCTCTCCTTCCCTCAGCCAGCCCCATGCCTCTCCTCCTCCGCACCCGCCGTGCTGTCACCCTCACCCTCACCACCTCTACTCGACTTGGCTGGACTCAACAGCGACGGCAGCGGCTCAAACACGCCATCGACATCCCCACTGGCCCCCTCATACGCCTCCACCCCACTGGCCCCGCTACTACTATCGTACGGATGGGGACGCGGCGGGATCGGCATCTTCTCCGTTGGGCTCCCGCCATGCGGATCGTCAGCCGGGCCCTCCCGCCCCACCGGTGGCAGCCCCTTCGGCGCACCCTTGGGTATCATGCTGTATGGGTATCTGGCCGTCGAGGGATCGCTGGCCTGCTCCTGACCACCACTGGAGGGTGGTGATGGTGGGCTTCTGATGCCTGGCGATGACGTGTGTGCGAGGGAGGGGAGGGGGATGGGCAGAGGGAGGGGCTGGGGGCGGAAATGCGGCCGGGCGGAGAGCCGCAGAGAGGCCTGTTTGGTGGTGAGGCGCTCGGAGGACTTGGCCCGGTGTGGGTATGATGGCTTGAGGGGCTGGGGGGCAGGGGGAGTGCTGCTGGTAATGGGGGCTTGTGTCCTCGTCTTGAGCTTGCGGAGGGCCGTCTCCTTCGCCTACACACACACACACACACACACAGACAGACAGACAGAGACGTATCATGACGCTACTATTCCATGTTAGTGTCTCTGTCCGTGTTGTGCTGACGTGTATCATTCTGCGCATTTCCTGCATCCGTAGGTCGTGCTGTGCCTGCTCCTTCTGCAACAATGCCTCACGCCGCTGCAGCGCCGACAACCTGACAAATTACCACCATCACAAGACAGGCACGGCACACAGGCCCCCCCATACATATGCAGGGGTGGCTGGTTGGTCTCTGTCCTGTCCTACTTTCATTTCACCTGCGTGTGTATTCCTCTTCCCGCTCCTGTGTCTCTTCTGCGGCGGTCTGCAGGTGCCGCACCCGCTGCTCACACTCGTCGAGGGCCTTCATGCGGCCCTCCAGGGTCATTTTCCAGTACCCATGCCTCTGAAAGACATCCGCACACACACATACGCATTCAAGAGAGGAAGGTCATCTGCGCATGTGCATCTATCTATCTGCCTGTGTTGTCACCTGTGTTCGGTCCTGCCGGAGGCGTCTGGCGTCATCGAGCTCGGCCTGCGAGAGGCGGGTCAGTGGGTGAATGGTGCTGTGTCTGTGGGGTCTGTGTGATGTTGCCGCAATGCGCTGGCTGCTGTACCTGTTTGTGTGACAGGTGCATGTGGCGCTGGTTGAGCGCCTCCATCTCGGTCTCCTGGTCCAGCTGACGCTCTGCATGACATAACAAGGATCAAGGATTATATGTTCCAAGGACAAGGAGGCCATCAGTGAGAGCGGTTACCGGCATCGGCGAGCCGCTCGCGAGCCGTCATCAGCTTGGCCCTGCGAGAAAGGGAGATGGGGCGGGGCATAGCCTAGAGACCTAGTTGGTGGGCCCTTTACCTCTGGCTTTCCTCGACCGTCCGCAATGCGCGACACTCCTCGTCCAGCTCCTGCACACACATCAAGGTCCATTGACGGCGGAGTGAGCCGCCCATGGAACACGTTTCTTGGGCATCGGACCTTCTCGCGTTGTGTCTGGGTCTCTGCTTTCTGCTTGAGCTGCTGGTATGCCTTCCTCGCTTTGGCGAGTCGGTCCCGGAGGCCATCCCGCTGCTCCTTGAGGGCCGTCTGATCCGCCAACGAACACCGCTCAGACTCAGACAAAGACCGCAACTGCAGAAGAATCCATGTGCAATGAGTGCGAAGGCGCCCTCCTTGTTTGGCATTTACGCCTCTACCTGTTCCTGTGTGTGTTTGCGTCTGTCCTCAAGTGCGCCCCTGGTCTGCAGGTTGACGGTCTCCCGCTCCCTCAGGTCGTCCCGCTTCTTTTGCCACTCCTGCTCCAGCACCCCCACGTCCCGCCGGCGGTCCTGCAGGGCCCTCTCCTGCGACGCGATGCGGCGCTCCTCCTCACCACTGGCGCGGATGAGCTCCTCGGTCTTCTTGACACGCCGGTCCAGCTCCTGGCCCTGCCGCTGCAGCTGCAGCTTGTCGTGGGCCAGACGGGAACTCCGAATGTCGATCTCATGCAGACGGGCGTTGGCACGCTACAGCGAAAGGAGGGCAAAGGATAGGTGTGTGTGGTGGCGTTGAGGTGGTGCGTTTTGTGGGTAGATGTCACCTCAGTGTCGTTTTGTACTTGCTGCAGTCGGTGCTGCAGTGCATCTCCCTTGTCCCGGATGCGCTGTCTGATGTCGTGCAGCTCCTGGGAGGAGCCACAGGTGCAGTCAGACGTGCCGATAGAGCTACCCTGGACCACGCATGGAGAACACAAACACCTGTTCGGTGCCACATCCGTTCCATCTATCCACCGTTTTCCTTACCGAAGCCGATGGATGTAGCACCATCTTGGCTGGCGTGAGGACTCCCAGCTCCCGATTAGCTACCCTCTCCACGGCCATTCCACCAACATCACTGCCACCTCTACTAGCCCCATCTCCATCCTTCGCAGCAACGGCATCGGCCTGTCGGTGCTGGTGCTGTGTTTGCTGGCGGATGCCGCCAGCGAGTGAAGTGCTTTGTCGGACGCTGCCTCTCAAATACGGGCGATGACCGCCACTGGTCTGCCGAGTAATTGTGGAAGGGGGAAACGACATTTGTTGGGAACGAAGATGCATTAATTTACAGAGCGATGTAAAAACACGTGGCAAAATGAGGCGCCCTTCAGGCATGCTTCTAACTATCCTTTTAGCGGTGCGGAGATGTCCGAGCACCAGCAGCAGCAGCAGCACCCGGGCCACGGCGTCACACCACGTCCATGCGCTGGACACCTACTCGGGGCTCTCAGGCCACGCGCAAACCAGCCGGGCCGCTTTGAGGAAACTGGTGGACCTCTGCTCAGAGTGGACCGGTGGGCGAAAGAAACACCAACACTCGTGCAGCTGTGGGTGTATATGCAGATGTGAGCAGCGCGCCCGCAGATCCGAAGGCGGCGAGCGTTGCTGCCGAGTGCGTCAAGTTCACCAAGAGGGCAGTAGACAGCGTCTTCCTCGCGTGTCCCTACGGCGGGGTTAACGCGCCCATGCAGGGAAAGCGGCTGGTGTCGTGCGTCCTCGACCACGCACCGTCCATCGACTGCGGCAGCAAGTGCGCCGAGTGGACGGCGGGGACGTCCTTCAGCGCGGCCCGGTGTGAGGGGCGGTGCAACTCGGTGCGGCGGTGTCTGAGCAGGGAGGACAATCCTTGCCTCAGGCAAGCTGTCGACGGCAGGACCCTTTTTCGATGCTTCGACTTTTACCTGTGAGGGAGGGTATAACACACAGGCATCTCTGTGGATATTTTGGGCGGGGATGCATGGCTTCTGTGTGCGTGTGCGTCAGGTGGAGCTGCCGCGAGAATGATAGTACAGCCGCCGAGGCGAAGGAGGCTCAGAGTTACGAAACGGCGTCGCCCACCGCCGCGCAAGGTGAGAGCCAAGGCATTAAGGAGGATTTAATACCACGCATTGACCGTTTGGCTGGTGTGTGCTTGTGAACTTGAACTGCATCAAGCAGTGATATGGAAGATGTTTAACGCGGCCGCGAATTTGGAGCCTGTGGGGCTGTGGCAGTAGTGCAGTCATGGCCATTGCTAATCGCTGCCTTGATGGACGGCTGGCCCGCCAGAGAGGTAGCTGGATAGAGTCTTATAAGGGGGCGAAGAGGGGGGGACAGAAATGATGACGGCAGACTGACTGTGTCAAGAAGTGCGTGAGTGAGTGCGGGTGCGTCGGTGTGCGTGCGA